TCTTCTCGTCTGGCTCGATGCCAATGTTGACGAGTCAAAAGAAGATTTCCAAAATTCGTTAAAACATTTACGACGAATTGTAGCATCCATTACAACATTCACCGATGCTCAACAATGTTTTGATTATCTTAGTGGCATTACAAAGGAAAAGGCATTTATGATCGTATCGGGTTCACTTGGACAGAAATTTGTACCAGAAATGGAAGCTATACCACAATTAGAATCCGTGTATGTTTTTTGTGGTAATCAATCTTACCATGAACAATGGGCCAATAAGGTACCGAAGATAAAAGGTGTATATACAAAAATTGAACCAATTTGTAAAGCCCTAGAAATTGATCGACAACAATGTGATCAAGCTATGATCTCGGTTAGTTTTAATGGTCTCGATCCTCTGTTCATGTACACACAATTGTTAAAGGAAGCACTATTAGAAATCGAAGATGACGATACAAAATCTCTCAAAGAGCTGGCTAGATATTGTCGTGAACAGGATGATATTCTTGAAGATAAAATTAAACAAGTTGAAAATGAATATCGTAATCATACGCCAATATGGTGGTATACAGCCCAGACTTTTATATATCCTATGCTTAATCGTGGTCTTCGAGTCATGAATGTCGATATCATAATGAAATTGGGGTTTTTCATCCGACATTTACACAATCATATTACGGAATTACATCATGAACAAGAAAACAACATGCCAAAACATTTTCAAGTCTTTCGGGGACAAAGTTTGTCCTTGGAAGATTTTGAAAAAATGAAAAAAACTAAAGGAGGACTTATGTCCTTCAATAATTTTCTATCAACAAGTCGCAATCGCAATATTTCACTGGAAAGGTTTGCACGACCAGCAACAAAGAAACCCAATTCGGTTGGCATTCTATTCATTATGAACATTGACACGACTATTTGCAAAAATTCATTAACACCATTTGCTGAAGTAAGCCAAGTTGGCTACTACAAAAATAAAGAAGAAGAAATACTTTTTGCGACACATACAATTTTCCGAATCGATCACATTGAACGAATTGAAGACAAAAATACTGATCGCTTATGGCAAGTTAATCTTACTCTTGTGGGTAATCAAGATGATGACTTTAACAAACTCACAGCACATCTACGAGAAGAGTTCAAGAAGTACATAGGATGGGAACGACTGGGTTTCATACTTTTCAAACTGGGTGAATACCCAAAATCAGAACAACTCTACCAGATTCTCCTCGCAAAGGCAACTTCCGATCGAGATAAGGCGGCATACAATCATCAACTTGGCTCGACATATGATAGTATGGGTGACTATTCACAAGCACTTTCATATTACGAAAAATCACTGAACACCTACAAGAAAATTCTTCCTCCAAATGATATCAGTTTAGCTTGGCCCTACAACAACATCGGTTTGGTGTATCATAATATGGGCGAGTACTCGAAAGCACTTTCATCGCACGAACAAGCACTTGAAATTCGAAAAATAGCTCTCCCTCCGAATCATCCCGACTTGGCTTCTTCCTACGACAACATCGGTTTGGTGTATGATAACACGGGCGAGTACTCGAAAGCACTTTCATCGTGTGAACGATCACTTGAAATCCGAAAAATAGCTCTCCCTCCGAATCATCCCGGCTTGGCTTCTTCCTACAACAACATCGGTATGGTGTATCATAACATGAGGGAGTACTCGAGAGCACTTTCATCGTATGAACGATCACTTGAAATCCAAAAAATAGCTCTCCCTCCGAATCATCCCGACTTGGCTACTTCCTACAACAACATCGGTTTGGTGTATGATAACATGGGCGAGTACTCGAAAGCACTTTCATATTACGAAAAGGCGCAAGACATATGGAAAAAATCACTACCTTCAAATCATCCACATATTGCACTTGTGAAAAGAAACATTGACATTGTGAAAAAGAAAATGTAATTGTTTTTTTTAAAACAAGAAAATAAATTGGCCTTCTTGAACACGTTTGGCTCGCCAAAGCGTACCAACTACAACAATTTCACGCACGCGCGACCAGGGATACCCTCCGTATTCTGTTGGGTTGTACAGTGGAGAAAGCCGGCAATGATAAGGCAAACATACATTTATGCATGAATGACTAGTACATCCATGATCATCATCTTCGGAAAGACGATGACGAGATGGATGCATCTAGTCATACATACATAGATGTATGTTATAAAGGCCTACCATCTACACGCCTGTACAGGTTACCAACAGAACGTCGAATATCCCTGGGAAGGTTCATTTTGTTTTAGAGCCACCCTCAAAAGCTCCGTTTGTTTTAATTTTTTTTTCTTCTGTTACGAAGAACGAGAAGAAAGACGACGTTGACGGAATTTTAATACACGCAGTGTATGATGACAACCGGTTGTTTTAACGCATGCTGTGATATTGAGTGCACGATATCTATGTCGTCTTTACACATGTTATGTTCAATTTATTTTTCTTTTCATCTGGAATGTGTAAGAACAAATGAGATGTCGTGCACTCAATATCATGCTATGAGAGTGATGACTGAACGAAAGAAGACCAGAAAAAAAAATTATCGACTATTCTCTTTGATTAGTAACATACGCATATATAAGAGATAATTGAAAGAAGAAAAAGGAATTTTTATAAATTTAATGATTTTTGTTACTTATTACATCACGTTTTACAAAGATACTATTTTACGATCATATTGATTGAATACAATATAATAAAACAGAAGTTCAAATAGAACAAGTGCAGTAGTTGATTTTTTTAAAATAATAATTTACAGTAAAAATTATCGATCTAATATAAAGATTTGTTGTAGAATAGTTTTTCGTTCATTCACTGATGAAGGTGAATATTCAATCGACGTTAGACTTTTTCCGTCAATTATTCATTCATTTATTATGATTATCAAAAAATGTTTAAACTTATTTATTTAGCTTTAAAATAAATGAATTCAATATAAAATAAACAAAATGGATAAACTAAGTAAATCACTTGAAGTTTTAAAATTATTTTCAACAACAACATGTTATCGAAAGTTTTTTTTGATCTAGAGATAAAGATGAAAATAATTCTAAATCAGTTACGACTATTGTAAAAGTATTATAAAAGAAATTCTTTTTTTTAATAATTTTGTATGAATTATACAATAGGACTATAAAAGATAATCCTAATGTTGAATAAAAAGCATTCAAAGATTTGTTTTATTTCAATTTCAATTAGATGTTCTACGGCGATTTGACGAATCAGCAAATGTAATACATTCGAAAAAGATTCAACCATTTTATCAGAATATAATGAACTTATTTTTTATATTCTTGGTTGATCAATTAATGATGAAAAAATCGAAGTAAGTAAAAAAGAAAATTCTTGTCATCTAAGAAACCTCTTCTAAAGAAGTAATCAGAAAAAAGTTATGCGATTGAATAGAAACATAGAAAATGATTGTAGAATAGGTAGTCTCATACTATTCGACGAAATACCGATTGAGAAACTGTTCATCATTTGCAGTAAGAATAATAAAATTTTATTTATCATTAAATATCAATGCGAAATGAAATAAATTAGTCATAGTTGATTCACTAACAATCGTTATAGTTAAGATATGAAGTCGAGTGAGAATGAATTTTTCTTTTTTTTTCCTAATATTAATAATAAATAATTTTCAGGAACCTCTCATGTCCTATTCAGTCAATATGTTATCCTATGATTATAGCACGTTTTCTAATGATAAATGTAATTGGTAAGTTTTCTTTCAAATAATTATTTCAATTAATTATAATTTGTCTTTTATTTTAACAGATCAATTATTTGGGCATTATAATCAAAATCATAGTACAAATTTTAATAATTGGTTATCTTAAATTAAATATCAAAAAATTTCAATCATCATCATGAAAAAGTCAACGATCAATAACAAGAACTAGAAATATTGGTACAAATGAACAACATCTTTCAATCAGTATTTGATAAATAATGAATGATTTTATTTTCTATGTAAATATTTATTTTTTAATATGTTGATATGATATTTTATATTTGTTTACAACATAAAAGATCATATTGTAATTTGAAATTTATTGGAAACACATGAAATTATATTTAAATTTATTTGATTTTGATCAATTATTAATTTCAATTCAAATTGGATCTATAGAAGTAACTTGTATTAGTCACACATTAAACACAGTTAAATATTGTGAAAAGAGAACAACAAGTTTTTTTTTTCTAAAATAATAGATTATTCAACATATCAACGTTGATTTATTGAAATTAATAAACAGCACGATATTTTAGTATATAAAATGAATGATGAATTATATTCAAAATCAATGATTAATAATGAAAAATAAACATCAGTTGCTAAACTTGTTAATCAATGATGTTTTTTTTTCAATTAGACATTTGCTTAATGTGTTAATAATTTGATTATCCTACTGTAAATATGTTTAATGCTTGTTTGAGACTTTTTTTTTTGTAAAGTTTCAGTTCAGTAAAATACATTTATTTTATAATCCAAAATTATTTCCAATGTTGTAACAGTAGGAGAACTCAGATGAATAGGATAAATCTGATGAAGGAGCTTGTAGCAGAGTTTAGTTAACGTGGCTTCAATTGGACATGGTCTCAAAGTTTTAGTGAAAGTTATCTGATAGATATGAAGATTTTACTATTGAATTGTTGAAACAAAACAATATGAAATTTTAATCTTTTTGAAACCAACAAAAGAGTAGAGCATTTTACTAAATAGGTTAGACATACAAAAATTTTAGAGTCCAGAGGCTGCATTTATATATGTCAGAGATTGAAATTATACAATCACATAATTACCTCAAAAACAAAGTTCGAAGTTAAAGTACGAATTCTGTACATATCTAGTACGAAAGAGATGTTCGATTTTTCATTATGATATGAAATCAATTGTATTCTCGAATGAGTTTTTCTTTAATCTTTGAAGATTTCTGATTAAATAAAAATTTTGTAATTGATATAAAATTCTTATCTCTATATGACTTGGAATGCATTAAAATCTATCGAACATCGAGGTAGGCGATCTACATTTATGTGATACATATGCAAATTTCTTTCCTTGCTACATTAATTAAAAAGAACAATTCATCTTTTAAGACTATTATCATTATCAAATTCATTTAATAATTCTTTTATTAATGAATATTCACTTGTATCAATTGATTCACAAGATAGTTCAAGGTTAGATTAGAATATTAAATCGTCTCTTGTTTTTGATAAAAATATTTTTTCTTTTTGTTTTTAAATATATTCAATTAAGTATATTAGCAGAATTACTTTCTACATTTCGATTATGTCTTTAGGATAATAATACACATGTTATACATTTACAATCATAGGAATTGAATTATTAGAAGATTCTACTCAATATAGTACAATTTCGTATATTCTTGCTAAAGTAGACAAATGAAACTTATGATTACAATAAACTGTTTATGTGTATAAAATAGGTTGCTCTAGCTCAAATTGTGCGTAATATTGATTTTCTTGAATACTAACTTATCTTGAACAACAACAATAACAGACAAAAAAAACAGTAAATTAAAACTAATCACATGTAGAAGATAAAAACAATATCTTGTTTTTTTTTGTTTTACTTTTATTTTTAGAATCGATCATGACTTGATCATTGTATTGACATTGTCTTTCTATTTCTTACTAATAATGATACAATTTTTCGTCCAGCAGTTACTTTAACTTTTGCTAAGTATGTCAATTGTAGAGATATTAGTTAACTAGATAGTTTTATTTTTGAAGTTGAATGCATCAGTCGATTTTATTGTATTAAGTTAGTTACTAGCTACTTTTTGATTTTAAGGTTTATTGATCACAATTCATTTTTTTAGTATATCAATGGTCAATACATTATTTACCTAAATGGATCAAGTCTTCCTGTCAAGAGATGCATAAAATTCATTATTCATTACAACAAACAAATACTTCTGTAATTATATTCAATGATGGAATGCAATGTGAAACAATATCATGCTTACCAACATTAATATTTGATTGTTTAACTCAAACATCCACTCGAATATAAATTGTTTGTTATTTTTGTCTTTTATATAAGTTGGATGTTTAGAAGGTATTTATGCTCTTTCAAATGTTTTAGGATCAACAGCAATTCGATCATTTTTGTTTTCATAATCAATATGATGAACTTTGTTTAGTTATACATCTATTTATATGAAATGATCTTAATAATTTACAATTATTACTCGATAATAATAATAATTTAATATTTTGAAGTAAAGAAAAGAAAAGATATTTATTATGTTTCTTTAAATTCTTTCTTTTTATTTGAATATTTATCAGATCTTAACAAATAACTTCACAATCATCATTTTCGTTGGGCAGAAGATCATTTTCTATAACTGATATTTCAACTTTCGTAGGAGAAAGGAGTTCTAAAGTTTTAGATTTGAAGAATGTGTTGGATCATGTCTTGTCTGAATGAATTCATTTGTTTTTTTGTTTTAGAGAATGATAAAGATTCATCAATAATATCAAACACAAATAAAGATACAAAAGTTAATTTTGAACGATTACTTTCAACAACATTATTTTCTATAAAATCAGTAGTAAGTCTTATTTCTACACAAGGTTTATTAAAAAATTTGGAAGAGACACTTAATTATTTTAAATCAACATTCAATATACAAAAGAGGTAAAACTTCTTTTAAATAATACATATTAGTTAGAAAATTTCAGTTATTAATCTTCTTCTACTAATCAGTTGAGCTAAAACCTTTAGGATGTCGTATTGGGTCTGAACCAGAGACTGGCTGGCAGGGCAAAAACGTTTATCCTATGCCAAAAAAATTAAAAAAAGCCTAATTCTAGTTTAGTTTTTCTGATTAAACAATCCATTAAAATGCGAATGTTTTTAGTCGATTTTAATCTAATTATTTCATCTTCAATTCATTTTGATTGTCATTTCACAAATAATTTTGAATGAATTAAACCTTGCTTATAAAATGAAGTTGATTAGAAATGTAATCGAGTTTTTTTTTCTGCTACACGTCTTAAGAAATCTGAATATGAACTGACTACTTCCTTAAAAATTTGATGAGCACAGAAAAAACTACAAGAAAGAAAAGTTGCCTTTCATTCAGAAGACCTAATTTTAATCGAATAAATTAAAAGATGGTCGATTTTTATCAAACACAAGTCAAGAGTAGAACATCATATTTTATGTTGGAAGACCACGACGCACTTAAAAAATTTCATAAAACATAACAGAAGACATATGAGTTCTTTAAAATTTTATGTCGAAAATTCTGCTGACTTTATGAAATTCAGCACAACGAAACTTTGTTTTTCAGTTATAACTTTATTTTTGTGTTATAGGAAAGAATAAGTACTTATAAATAAAAATAAATCTTGATATTTATAAAATGAAGATAGATGAATTATTTATTTTTGAAAATTAAAGAATAAAGAAAGATTTGTTCTGTTATAGATAAATAGACAAATACATAGTATAACAACTGGATATGCGAAGCAATATTCTTTCTTGCCATGAATATCACTTCGACATGTCATATTATTAGACAATCAAGTGAGTGCATGGAAAAAAGAATGTATATGCAAAAAAAAAACTCTCTGTATAGTTTATATACATCTAAGGTGTTTATTTTTGAAAAAATATAAAGAATTTACTGATGTTTTTTTTATAAATATAAAAATCGTACTTATATTTATTAAATAAAATAAAGTGAAAAAACGTGATCCTAATAAAAAAAACAAATATTGTTTTGCAATTAAAATTACTTTCTTCTTTTTTCTAGCACGGGGTTTAGTGACTAAAAGCATCTGAGAATATCATTATTTTATTGAAGATTAAAATCTTGCAAGAGACATATTCAATTTATAAGTATTATTCTAATCTATTGATGCCCTGCACCCTGTCCTTAGAACAGGACAAGAAAAAAATACTCCGTGACAGTCTCTGATCTGAAACTTGTCTGTGGACAGAATTTTAGATGGAAATCTTATAATCAAGATTTCAGGAATGGTCTAATCCAGAAAAAGAAAATTTCAATATAAGAATATCATAGTAACAGAAAAACTGATTTTGCAAATATTGACGGTTTTAATGAGAGAATAGTTAATTGTGAAAGTGCCACATCTTTTCATTTGGTTCTCTCTTGAAATTCAAAATTTGAAAATTATTTTTTCTGTTAACACAATATTCATTTGAAAATATTCTTTTAATTTAGTTTTTATTAAACCTATACTAATTAGCAATCGTTTCATCATCATCTGCTGAAACAAAATATTCAATTGTTACCTCACAAGTACCAATAAATAATTCTTTAAATAATATTCATACATTAACTATTCGACAATTGATTATTTATTTTATTTGGTTCACGTTATATATCAAATATAAATAGTGATCAATCCATAGAATATAGTGTAATGCGAGAGTAAAATAAACAAAAAAAAACGAATTTGATCTATTCTGTTTTTTTCTGTTTTCTATTTTAGTTTTTATTGAACTCGATTTACTTGTTTGATTACTTTTAATTCGTGTTAATTATAGTTGATTAAATGCTGATGAATTCTCGTTATATTTTTAATCTTTTCGTTTATTTTTTAAACAGCATTTTCTTACTCATATAATCTATCAACTGGAAATGATTTAAGAAACTATGCCAGATTATGATATATCATCACATTTTGTTTTATTGTATTGCTAAGTTTTTTGTTATGTTACCACATAATAGATTTCATTCAAAACAAGTTATTCAAGTTAAAGATTTAATAAAACATTGTGACTAATTATTAGCAAGTGGACATGAACGTGAAACACATGATAGGAAGCAAAAACAAAAAAAATATTTTTGAGAAAAATAAGTTATCGTTAAAATTCTTTATTTAGCTTTAGCAGTATTCGAATTAGTTGTATTTAATTTATTTTTTGTTGAAACATTACTTAAACCAGTTCGATATAATAAAGTTATGTGATATTATAAGAAATAGTCACCATGCGAATAATTAAAATTTCAAAAAAAGTTACATTAAATGAGAGTGAACAAAAGATGTTCCTCTATAAACTCTCAAATATCATAGAAACTCGAAAGTATGTATAGGTGTAATTTCCCTCCTCAATCGAACCCACACCTACACTCCAACGAATCAATTATCTGAAAATAACTATATTGTTGATGCCAAGAGTTCGACAATATTTGAAAATAACAACATTCAGTTATATATTTGATAAAAGATACGACAATTAAAAGTTTGAAGGAAAAGTAGGCATCTTAATTATTGTAAATAAAAGAATCTTTTCATATCATCTCTACGTACTAAAAAAAGCAATAATAGAATTGATATTTTTATAAACTTTGCAATTGTTGATAGTGTTCGAAATGAAGGTGATAAATGGAAACATTTTTCTCGACAAATTGTCGATGTACTTCTTGTTCATCTTACTATTGGTTTATCTAAGGTTATTTTTCTTTTTTTAATAATCTTCGACTATACGTTACTTTTTCTTTTCAAATAGGATCAATCACTTTTGGATATTTATTCAACACAAGTAATACTATTTGATGTTGTATCATCATTTGAATTACGACCAATTGATCCATTTGTTGTTGCTTTTCGAGCATCAACAAATAGAAATGTTGGTTTGTTTTTATTTATGAAGCTTTCCTGTTGTTTAAATTTCTTTTTTTACGACATCAATCATCAAACTATAAATTGATGGTTAAGTGGTATAAATATCATTCTTTGATGTTTTGTATCAAATTCAACTAAAGATCCAATATTAACACGATGGAATAATGCTTTATCATCAGTTAATAGAATACGAGATAGTGGGTACGTATTCGAAATGATTTTATTTATAATTTAAAAACTACGATTCTTACTTCTTTTTAGAGTTTCTCTTCGAATTTACATGATGTAATATTACGAATTTTCGGATAATAACGTGGTCGACTCAATATGACATTAGTTTCTCTGCATATTATGAAAAATGGTAATGAATTAAAATAGTAGTGTATTTGTAGACATGAATATGATAGTTCAACAATAGGAATATTATTTTTAGCTGAACTTGTCATCTTTGTAACAAGCGCCATAATGATTGATTTAAAAATTTCGATTTGAAACTTTAGAAAAAAGAAACTAACTGAGCAGATAATAACTAGTTTCTATCAAAGTCAGAAGATCTTAAGCTCTCATCATAGTCTATATGATAGTAACATATCACCCATTCATTTGAGAAGAAAACTTTCCTGCATTTCATTAATTACTAATGAGCTAGCGATAAAACATTTGACTTAAAAAATTTCTATGTTTTTATAAGATCTATAGTTTTATTTTAGCTAAATAATTTCGAAAAAATTCTAAATGATTTTCGTCAATTATTAGCTCATGATGAAACTGTATATTGTCTTGATATATTTTCATATTTAACCAGTTTAAATGAATATTTTAAATTATTATTATAATGAATACATATTCTGAATATACTTGATTATGCGCACAAGAAGCATGATGGTCGTCAATATAAACACCATCATCATTAATAATACACTTATTCATAAATGATTAATTACAATCTTATTATAATTTAATATATTATCATAAATTATATTTGGTCTTATACATCTATACATCAGTTGCAAGTCACTTATTCATTTGTGAAGGAATACATTTAGATGAAAATGATTTTTTTATTAGTTTTATTAATTGAATAATTTCTTCTATTATCATATATATTTGTATTATGTTTAGCTGAATTAATTGTTTATAATCGTATTGAAATGACGTTGACACTTGATGAATAAATATTAAATAAACAATTATTAACGAAATATTTACCATTAAGTTTTATAAAGCTTTCAGCGCAATCCCTTCCGGGATTAAAGTGTGAAACACGATTCAGCTGCTTTTCTTAATTGCAGGGGAATCTTTTAAATTTATCTATTTCGGAGCACATTTCTAAAATATTGTTTTACCCATTCCTTCAAAACTGGAATCAAAAATTAGTTTATACGTTATAATAAAACGTTTTTGATGCATGGTCTTTGAGCTTATATGAACAGTCTTGTATACTCAATGATTGCTTCTCGGAGTGTTTATGAACATATTAGACGTGTTAGTCATCGTCTGTGAGGAGTATTCTATTAGCAACTAATCCTTAATTATGCGGTGAATAATCAGTCCCAAACTAGCCGTTAATTAATTAGCCACTAACCCTAATTAATGAGGTCTTAATTATTTATTAACCAACTAATTAATAAGATGTCTGTCACGTCTGTGATAGGCCGTTGCTAAGGATGTCTGTCACGTCTGTGGGAGGAGCCGGGGGGTGGGTCCAAATTTCTACCCTATATACTTCAACACTCCTTTTAGATCGTGTTTCACAAAATCGTAATATCTCAAATGAGACTACAAAGTTGGATCTATACCTATAACAACATGCTCTACCAAGTAGAGTAAATTTCACTGAAATCTAAGATTACGAGTAAGCATAAGTCTTCTGCACGCGTATGATTTTTCGCAAGCAAATTCGAACTGACATTTCGTTTTTATATCCGAATCCGGATAGCAGTACCCGGTATCCTACAAGAGCTAATCGGCAGCGAAAAAAGAGAGATCATCCCAAATTCCACAAAAAAAAGCAAGTGATTCAGGATTCATTTGTTATATTTCTGCTTCTAAAATTCGATTAATTTCGCTAAGTATACATGTTCTTGTTGTTGATGACGCCAAAATGTAACACAGTGCTGACGTCAGACTTGTGGATGCATACATGAATACTTTTTTCATCATGCTAGTTCATGGTTATCATTTTTATAATTTATTTTCCTTTCTTTCTATTCAGTTACTTTGTTATATGGTTAATCACCATGTGTAGATGAATTTCCATTAAAAACAAATTCTTTTAGTAAAAACTATGATCGAATTAATTTTCATTCCTATACTTTTATATAAATAGCAGTTTGAAAAAGTAAAAGTATCTTGAAACGTTGAGATCTCATTTATTGCTGGGTCGGCTATCGGATACCCGATTCGGTTGCAGGACACTAGTCAGCATCCCTCTACAATACTAGTTTATGGCTCACATGGAATGGCTGCTATATAGAAATAAATAGTAAAAAGCACAACAGTGATGAAACAGAACTCTCATATCATTACTGTAGTGGTTGAGTAATACAGATATGACTAATTGAGGGTTTAAATTGACTATTATAGAATGAGAAAACTGAAAAATGAGTCATATCAGTATATAGGATAGTTTGATCTTTTTGAAATAGAATTTTTTACTGATTAGAAATACATTATTGTTGATTGTAAAGATCCATAAAGTAGTAGTTATTGAATCTAGAATAATAAAGAGATCGTGCAGAATTTTAAAGTCTATAAATCGTCTATTTTTAGTTTAATTTTACCCATAACACACTACTGAATAAGTAAATTAACTTTTGAAAAAACCATTGTTGTGCGACAATATTGTATAATATTATAGAAATCAAAAAAAGAACTATTGAGTTACGAATTCTTTCAAAATATTCTGATTCTTAAAAACAATGTTTGGTCAAAATGCATAAAGA